TCTTCAATTCTAATCTGAGAATTGTTTTTTTCTAACTAAATCTGTCTAGTCTATCTAAATACAAATTTAGATTATTTAGATTTTAACCACCTGGAAAGCAGGTTTTAAAGACCTGAGTAGCTTAGATTATAGGCATGTATCACTGCACGTAACTTAAGAGATCCCTTTCTGTTCTGTGGCCTTATAAGCTTTGTTTCTAGCTTTTCTGTGTCACTCTTGCCCACCCTTTTACTGTTTCTCCTAATCATGCAAAGAAGACTTGGTCAGTGGTTTAGAAATACAACTCTACATGGTTTCGTAGAGAGTAAAAAAAAACATTTCCACATCCATGCCCACCTTCTCTACTATATATACCCAGTTCTGCTATAGTCCCTGGACTATCCTGTGTCCTTATATGGAAAATATGCAGATGTACTTCCCAGGTTAGAGCAAGAACTTGTCAGAACACTCACCTCGCCCAAGGGTAGACATAGAAGACCAGTAGGGAAAAAGTAGAAAGCATCATTTAGCTTAATGTCTGGCAAAAAATACAGCTTGTATGTCTTGAAGCAGGGACTGGGGATATGTTTTAGGTTTCCTTTAAAGAGTTAAGCCAAATTCATTTACTAGTTTGTGGCATAGGCATCTGGGGAGTGAACTCTTGGCCATGCTCACAAAAGTTCTACCCCTGAGCTATAGCCCCACCCTTCTTTTTTTTTTAAGAGTCTCTCTAAATTGCCCAGGCCGGGTTCAAATTGATTATCCTTCTGCCTGGGCCTTCTAAGTAGCTGGGATTTCAGGCATGCATCACTGCACCCAGCTTAATTTAGCACTTTTAACTATAGTCTGTCTAAACTTTGTCTCCCCTTCAGTGTCCTTCAGTATTGATGTTGGTCTTGTTCCGTCAAGAATATATTTAGGTCCCCAGTGATGTTGATTTGCGCATCAAGCAGTTTTACTGGCAGGTTACCAGTAGGTATTTAAAAAAGTACCTGAATTCATCACTCTCAAGTTCTAGATTCTTAAACTTGTCAGTTCAGCTCTCTGCCACATATCTTCTCTATTTAATCTGTCTTTTACCTAATATAAGTATGGACCTTCCAACATTTATATTAACCACAGGAATGCTTTCCTTCAGAAATTTAAGTATTGCAATATTGACTAAGTAGGCGAGTTCAACTCTGTCTAACCTCTGATCTAGAAAAACATCATTGAGTAAATCATTAAAGATATGGTTGTGAAACAACACATCACTCTTGAACTGTGCCTTTTAAAGTTTTTATGAATATTATCTTATCCTTTTACCACACCCTTCAGAATTAGGCATTAAGCTGAAGATAGAAAGACAGGATGGACAAGGTCATGCAAGCCATTTCTCACCAAGGAGATAAACTCAAAACTAATTCAGGTAGTTGGAAGTCAGATTCCCCCTCTTTTATAGCCCTTCCTCCAATTTACTAATACCTCTGATCTGAGTACACTTTAATGGTGGTGTTCAAGTATTTCGCTTGATAAATAATTCACTTAGCTATTACAGAGTTCTCTTGTTGAGCAGAAGAAATGTGAACTCTCACAAGTGATTACATCTGTGATGAATTTTTGTTCTTGTAAAGATCTATTTAGTCAGACATGAAGGACACAATACAATACAAACTATAATCGCTGAACTGAAACATTGTGCTTCTCCTTAGGTGGTGGTGAGGAAATGGTCTACAGGACAGAAAATCGCCTCTCTGGACTCCCTGCTAGTTCCAGAGAGTAAACTAAATTAATGTGAGTGCTACCCTTAGGCTTCACTAAAGACCTAAGGAAAAGTGAATAATTTAAAAGCAGAGGTAAAGACCAGCTGTTTGAAACTTAGGTAGAACTGGCTACTACCCATTTTTCTAAACCATGGAAAAATAGAATTAAACTTCTAACTTTAAAGATTAAATTTTCAAAAGATAAGAAATTAAAATCCATCTAAGCCTAGGTCCTATTGAGAAAAATTTTAGAAAAAAAAGTAGAAAGCCGGATAGTTTAGAAGCACAGCCAAAAGTGGTTTTATTACTATAGTTATAAAGTTAGCTGTTACAACAGGGCCCTTTAATGACATCTGGACAAAGGTTAGAATTAATGTGAAGGCTCTCAGCAATTAAGCTCAGCTCCCATTGGGCTAGTGCCTATGTGTCCAGATGGCCCACCAGACATCTCAGATTCAGAACTTTAAGAACATCACAACTCAGTTTGAACAGAACTCATCAGACATGTGCACATCTAATGACCACCAGTTACCAGCTGTGTCACTTATGTTCCTGGCTCAGTAAATGCTGCTGCCCAGGAAGAAAATGCCGGAAGCAACCATGATACCCCTTTTCTCTTCTTCCTTCTTGCTAGGGAAGACAGTCCTATTAGTTTGCATTGCCAGAGCTTTATAAATCACAGTGTGATTTCATATCAGGAAGTGCTTTGTCCTAAAATGTGGTCCTTACCTACACTCAAGTGGTTCATGTCTGCTTGGGAAGCTAAGACAAATTAAGTCAGTAAAAAAATAAAAATTGCGGGATAAATACACAAGACCCCATATAATTGCCAGTGAACTTTATAGAACATTGTGACTCAGGATTTCAGGAAAGGATATAATCAGTCCAAGGGGAATAGTTTTGAGCCGACTAGTAATGATCTGGTAAGAGCAGCCTACTACTTGCTCTGATGATTTGTGGTTCACCACTGTATTTTTCCAATCCTTCTTAGCAGGAAAACATGCAAAGAACTCTTATTATCATTGCCTGTCAGTGTTGCCATTTCAGTTTTCATCTCCTAGGCTTCTGCAGACCACTGCTCTAAATGGCACTTAAGGTTGACATGGATAGAATGTGTCAGCCTCTCTGATGCTGTTTTTCAATACCTGAAGACTACTGTGTTGTTCTTTGTTAGAGTTCAGTGGGTCTTAGTGTTTCTGTGTATCTTAGTGAAGAAGACACAGTTGGGCCATGAGGCTATGAAATACATACATCTTTAGTTGTCTATTGGGGATTAACTTGAGTCATATTGCTATAGTCATCACCTGGTTGCATGACCCTTTAGAAAACCTTAGTTAAGGGTAATAAAAATACAAGGTTAAATTATTGAAATATGGGACAGCAGCAGATCCAGTCTCAACCATAAAGGAGTTGGATGTCACCTGTGGATTTGTTGTTATACAGTTTTTTATTCTATATGAGCATCATTTTAGAGGAAAACACCTCCTTACTACTTTCCTTCAGGAAGTGCTTTGTCCTTTCATTGGGTACATGCCTTGATTTCATTCATCTTTAGGCATGTTAAACTCAAATACCAAAACTTATTTCCAGAACATAAGCACAGGCATGAAGCATAATCCAGAAGATTTTTGCAAAGACTTGGGTTATGAATGTGTTTCTTGAACAAAGAAGAATCATTTCTTTCTCCCCCTCTCCAGGAGATACCATCAAACATCTTTTTATAAAATGCCCTCAGTTCTCTGCCATAGTTCATATATAGTCAAGTGATAGTCTTATGCGGAATCACAATCCAAAAAAAGAGAAAGGAGGTTAGAAAATCTGTGTACCTATAATAAAACTATTCCTAAAGCCCTCATTCAGAGATATTTATTTTTACTTTAGGTACTTTCTAGCACTTGGGATATGGTTTCTCAGCAAGTAAGTAGAAATACACACTTACTAAAGGTAGAAGTGAGTCTTCTAAGAGTTGCTCTGTCAAACTCCAGATCATTGGAGCTCTCTTTCTGCACAGGCTCAGTAAAACCTAGATATCTAGAAACACAGAGCAGCTAGCGAAACCCTTGGCTGTCTGTGCAGCACTGCCTGGAGTGTCTCAAGTCCAGTATCTTCCTTTCCCAACATCCCTACTATGTGGGATAAGCTCTAAGAGTTCATTCTAGATGACTTAGGAGGAAAATGTTTGAAAGGGATTCTTTAATGTAGAGTGACTTCTTGTAGGTGACTGTAAAAATGTTTAGCAAAGTACTAAGAGATGTGTTAGCTAGGAGTGTATGAAGACAGTCCTACTACTTTGCATTGACAGAGCTTTATAACTCGGTGTGGTTTTACATATGTTTTCTCACTTGAAGGCTAGAAATCAGTACTTGCTTGTCATTCCACCATTTAACATATCTGAAATATAAAATTATTGGTTTCCTGTTCATCCATGACCCAGGAAAGGGATTAAAGGTTTCCACCATCACTTAATAATTATCCACCCAATCCGTTTTGCTAAGAGATAATTTTAAAACTATTAAGTTCTCAACTTCTAAACTAAGATTTTTAATATAGTATATCTAAATTTTTGTCAGTATTGTAGATTTAACGATTGCATAACAGGAATACATAGCCTCCAGTAAAATTACCACATGAGTATCCTTTATTTGAAATGCTTGGGACCAGAAATGTTTTGGATTTTGAATATTTTTAGATTTTGGAAACTTGCATGTGTGTGAGATGTATTGGGAGTGGGACCCAAGTCTAAACACAGAATCATTTGTTTCATGTATGTATACCTTATATACATAGCCTGATGATAATCTTATACAACATTCTTAATAATTTTGTACATAAAATATAGTTTCATGGTGTAGAATTTTCTACTTGTGCTGCCATGCAGCATTCAAAAAGTTTCATATTTTAGAGTGTTTACAATTTTTGGATTAGGGATGTGCAACCTGAATATGTTGACCAAGAGAAATTATAGTGTGATCAAAATTATATTTTTTAAAGAAAAGAACTTTTTTTCAGTATTTCTTCTCATGATTAAAAAATCTGTATGGTCACATAAAATTATGAAATATGTTGTTCCTTGAAGATTGAGACTATAACAGGCTGACCTTATCATTAGGTAAATATTCTTTATGGAATCATACAAAAATAAATGGTGGACTTTGAAGCCATTTTGGCTTCTCTTTGTACTCTCTTTACAATGTGAGTAACATCTGGTGAGATTCATAATGTAAAATGATGCTTTGGAAAATGACCTTACTAATTAATTCTTTCTCTTTGTTCATCTAGTGAGAATTCAACAGAAACTCTAGCAGTAGATTCTAACAATCAGTCGAAGTCCCCACTGGAGAAGTTTATGGTCAAACTGTGTACTCATCATCAGAAGCAATTCATTCGTGTTCTGAGTGACCTGTACACTGAATCTCAGCCAGGCACCGAGGACCTACCACCTTTGGATTCTGGAGCAATGGATGCATCCATTTGCAACGCTGGCTGTGCCCAGCTAAGCAGCAGCCATAGGGAAAAGGATGCTATGTGTCATGATAGGAAGTCTCCTACTTCTGTAGATTTGTTTGTAGACTCATCCGGCTCTCACAGCTCTGTGCATATCACAGAACAGACCCTGAAGGAACCTCCTCCTGAGACAAACTCTGTAGATGGAAGAGAGAATGCCTTGACTGTTGTCCAGAAAGATTCCTCCGAACTTCCAGCCACTCAACCTAATTCTAGCAGTTCAACAGATAGTTCCACTCTGGGATACCTCACTGTGTCTAATTCTTCCTCACAGAACTTCCACCACATCTCTAAAAGCTTGGAGGGGCAAACCACTGGAAAGGAGCAAGACACAAATATGAAAACATGTGAGGACAGTAAAGACCATATGCAGAGTTCAGCTTTAGTGGAAAGTCTCCTTGGAGTAAAAGTGGCAGCTGAGAATAGCGAGGAGGGCAATAGCTATGTTGTTTCTCAAAGAAATTCATTCAAAGCTTTATCAGAAGAGAAATGGGACTCAGGGTTTATGGAGAACTCATCTAGAACTGCCGACAAAGAGAATGCTCTACAGTGTGGCTCAAAAACACCTTTGCGCCAGGATTTAGAGGCAGATGAACAAGATGCAAGGCCAAAGCAAGAGAACCATCTTCACTCACTAGGAAGAAGTAAAATGGGTTACCATTCACATCCCAGTGACAAGGGCCAGTTTGATCATTCCAAAGATGGTTGGTTAGCCTCCAGCCCTGTGCCAGCTATACACAAAGCACCTAATGGACATTCACGAACCAAGATGATATCAGCCTCCATCAAGACAGCTCGGAAGAGTAAAAGGGCCTCAGGGTTGAGGATAAATGATTATGATAACCAGTGTGATGTTGTTTATATCAGTCAACCAATAACAGAATGCCACTTTGAGAATCAAAGGTCCATATTATCATCTCGTAAAACAGCCAGAAAGAGTACTCGAGGATACTTTTTCAATGGTGATTGTTGTGAGCTGCCAACTGTTCGCACATTGGCCAGAAATTTACACATCCAGGAAAAAGCGAGCTGCTCACCACTGGCATCAGAGGCAGTTGTGATGCCCAAGCAGACTCTTACAGTTTCAGCCCCTAGACACACAGTAGATTTGCAGCTTCCCAGAGAAGACCACACTGAAGGACCTAGTAAAGAAATAACCTCTTTCAAGGAGGGAGGTGGAGACACTTCATCAGTGAAAGAGTCTCAAGAGCCTGAGGTTTGTTCCATGACGAATGAACTGAATCCCAGCAGTTCCTCTAGGCCAGAGGAGATGACAGCATCCAATCCGGTGTGTCCTGGGCCTGCTCACCTCCCTGAAGAGGATGCGCCAGAAGACAGTGCTGCAGTCTCAGCTCCCACTACAAGTGTGGTGTCTTCCCCTGAACAAGACCAACAGCCAGTTGCCCTGCTGGATGCAGAGGAGCTGAGCGTAATCCAGGACTGCCACCTGGGTCCCACAACTGAAAGCATTTCTGGGCAAAGTAGTGAAGAAGTTCTTTGTAAGCCTCTGTCTTCTCCTGAAGTGATCAGTAGAGAAGAAAGTCCTCTGTGCTTAGAAGATCAAAGTCCCGCTGTGGAGGTGGAGCTTCCCCTGAGTCTGACACAGACTGAGCACAAGCACAGTACTGAGGTCAGGACTGGAGACACTAGGGAACTAGATACCAACTCACCCCAGGAAGCAGTTGGCACTGGTACTGATGAAAGCTGTGGTGAGACTGAGGAAGGAGAGGCAGCATGTGTTACAAGGCAAGAAGGAGAAGACAGTGATATAAAAAAATGCTCTTCAGAAAAAGATGTGTGTGATCTAAACATTGACTCACCAGAAGAGAATCTGGACAAGAAGAAAAAAGTTAAAAAATTTCCTGAGGCCTCTGATAGATGCCTAAGAAGTCAGCTTTCAGATTCTTCCTCTGCAGATAGGTACCTAAGAAATCAAAGTTCAGACTCTTCCCTCACTTGTCCTGAGACCAAGGTTTCTAAAAATCCTGGTGTAAAGTGTTCTGAAAGAGAAGGGTACACTGGTAGGATAACACCCGAGGGCTTTCCATCTGATAGTTTCCATACAGAAGCTCTGGAGGATACCGAAAACCTGAATGTCAGTGATTGTCCCTCTGAGAACGATGCTGAGCAGGAGAGTGAAGGAGGTGGGATTGTCACAAGGCAAACTTTTAAAAACATGCTGGCAAAAGACATCAAGAAGGAAGAAGGGGAGATTTTCCCCAGCAGTGATCCCATAACCACAGTCAGCCAGCCACTGTCTGGAGAGAGACTGGAAATCTATGTGCAGTCTAAGGTGGGTGAGAAAAATGCTCTTGTTCCCTCTGAAAATATTCCTTGTAGGGAGAACCTAGAGCAATCAAAAGAGAGGCCAGGACACACTCCCACCCAGAATGTGGAAGAGGGTAAGAGTGAGGTAGAGAATGAGGACACTCAGCATAAAGAAGATGCTAGCCATGCCCCAGCTACCCCAGTTGGGACATCAGGTGGTCGAGGTGGTAATGATGCTGGGCCACAAAGGGAACCAAGGCCTAAGAGATTGACCTCTTCAGCGTACAATCTGAGACATGCTCATTCTCTGGACTCCTTGGATACTATGAAAGTTACTTCAGACAAGGAAGCTGCACAAATAAAGCCAACACCAAAGGATAACGAAGCTTCCGAGAGCACAGACCCCTTTGAGGAGGAGGATGTGGACACAGTGGTAGACGAACAACCCAAGTTTGTGGAATGGTGTGCTGAGGAGGAGAATCAGGAGCTCATTGCCAACTTCAACACCCAGTACATGAAAGTGCAGAAGGGTTGGATCCAGTTAGAGAAAGAAGCACAGCCAACACCCAGAGCCAGGAACAAGTCAGATAAACTGAAGGAGATCTGGAAAAGCAAAAAAAGATCCCGAAAATGTAGGGGTTCCTTAGAGGTTCAGAAGTTTTCTCCTGTTCAGATGCTCTTTATGACAAACTTTAAATTATCCAATGTTTGTAAGTGGTTCTTAGAAACAACTGAAACCCGGTCCCTGGTAATTGTAAAGAAACTCAATACTCGTCTTCCAGGAGACATCCCCCCTGTCAAGCATCCTCTTCAGAAGTACTCTCCTTCTGGCCTGTATCCTAGTTCACTGCAGGCTGAACGCTTGAAAAAACACTTAAAGAAATTTCCTGGAACTACTCCTGCTAGGAATAATTGGAAAACACAGAAGCTCTGGGCTAAATTTCGAGAGAATCTGGACCAAGTGGAGACAGAAGATGGCAGTGATATCAGCCTCAGTCCTAATTCTGAAGATGTCACAGAGGAAGTCAAGGAAGATAGAAGTAGCCATCCTCCCACTAATCTACCTACTCCAGCCAGTACCCGGATCCTTAGAAAGTATTCTAATATTCGAGGAAAACTCAGAGCCCAGCATCGACTGATCAAAAATGAGAAAATGGAAAGTCCACTAGGTGTGGCTGTGGAAAGTAAACAGAGTCGGAAGAGTGTGTGCATTAACCCTCTGATGTCCCCCAAGCTCGCCCTCCAGGTGCATGCAGACGGGTTTCCCCTTAAGCCCAAGAGTACAGAAGGAATGAAGGGAAGGAAAGGGAAGCAGGCGTCTGAGGTCTTGCTTAAAGCTGAAGTTCAGAATAAACGCAAGAGAGCAGAAGGCTGCAGCTCTCAGGACAGTAAGGACAAGGGGCCAGCGATAAGGGCCAGCAAAGAAAAACATGTTGAAGGACCCACCAAAACTCCTGCCAAGAAGCCAGCTGCAAGAGACAAAACCAACCAACTGCCCAAAAAGATGTCTTTGAAAGAGAACAAAATGAAGATCCCTAAAAAATCCTCTGGGAAGAGCTGCCCTACCTCCAGGAAAGAAAAGGAGAATACCAACAAAAGACCTACCCAGTCCATTGCCTCAGAAGCAGTGGCAAAATCTACAAAGCAAAAGGGGACAGGTGAGTCCTCTTCTAGGCCTCAGAAAGCTGCAAACAGGAAACCAAGCAGTGGGAAGACTCGGGCCAGACCCTTGAAAAGTCCAGAGAACAGTGCAACTCAGAGAAAGAGAAAGCTCAAGGCGAAGCTGGACTCTTCCCACGGCAAACGGAGGAGGCTAGAGGCAAAGTGATGGAAGAATGGCAGCCAAGGGGGAGACTGTTCTTTAGGAGTAACCTTTAATTTTGCATTAACTAAATCTGCTTTTATAAGCTTGTCAAGCCTTTCAAATTATGAATAGTGGAGAACACCACAATTTGAGATGTCAGAAAATATGTCTCAGGTGGAGAAGAGAACTTGCAGAGTCCTTCTCTGAGGCTGAGTAAGGGAAGTTATATATTTTATTCTGGTTGTTCCTTGGGTTTTAAACTTGGAACCAAGCAGTTTTCGTTTTAAAAGTACAGTGCCTTATTTATCCTTTTTGTTTTTAAATTTACAAAAGCTAAAAAGCTGATCTATGTGATTAAAGGCTTGTATTTTATACTTGATGCACAAGCACTTGTACTGTAGCGGAGAAGACCACCATCATGCACACGAAAGGAGCTTCAGCAGCCACCTACAGCGGCTGTCCCTGTAGGTGCTCTCTTTGCAAACCACAGCAGTGACTTCCCTGTTTTGTTTTTTTGTTTTGTTAAGTGATGTTTGAAAGCTAAACCAAATCATTATTATGGTATGTGGAGAATGCAGAGGATTTATAATTATTATAAAAGATTAATTTTTTATTATCCTCTTTTTAAAAAATCACATTCATTGTTGATCACTCCTTTCATCTTTGTTTTTTGTTTGTTTAGTTATTTGGTTTTTTTTGTTTGGTTGGTTGGTTGGTTGGGTTTTTTTTTTTTTTTTTTTTTCTTTTTTTAATTGGTCATTTGACAACATGTTCTCTAAATTATGTGCCCTTGGGACAAATGATGTGTCACAAGTGTAAATTCTGGTTTTTGAATTCTGAAAATTATTTGCATTCCCAAATTGTATTACTGATTCTCAGCATCCTCTTTTTCATTTTTGGCTTTGCAAGCTTACTAGCATGCTAATAAGGTTTTCCTTCTGTTTTGGGAGGAAAAATAATTTTTTAAATACCATAACTGTAATTTGACAATTAGGATGAGAGTAGCTATTCTTATTTCCTTTCTTATCCACAGTACTTCCCTGTTCAGAGAAAGCCAAAATATCATTTTCCATAACAGGAATGTTTGTGTGTGTGCATGTGCATCCAGGTGCATTTGCATGTGGTTATCAACTGCAAATGTCTCCTGATCCTGGTTTTACAGTAAAATTCTTCTTTGTGCAGTGTGTACATGAGCTGAATAATTAGCGCAAACTAGATGGTTTTTTAATGACCCAGGGTTTCCATGGACATACCACAGTGGCACCAGGCTGAGAGAGGTGTTGAATAGCACAGTTATGTAGAGGTCAGAGCACCCTGGCATCTGGAAGCAGCTGCCCAAGCATCTTAGTGGTTCTACACCCCTGCCCCCAGAGCTGAGGTTCAGCTGGGATGCTCTTGAGTAGATATCCATTTATGTTAGCACCATCCTGGGGATTAAATGCTTATAGTATTGTTCTTCCCCATGCCATGTCATTCTCTGTCCCATGACTCAGAAGTGAGAGCTGTAATATTTGTAATTGATGTTGTTTACCTCTCCCCAGTGAAGCCCAGATAGGCCTATTGGCTTTACTCAGTGCCTGTGATATTGCTCTCTCATAACACAGTGTGTACTTGACATTTCCATTGGGCCACCAGCAAACAGGCTGGGTTGTTTAAGCCTCAGTCAACTTCTTTAACATATTTTGTCACCAGAATAGGCTTGTGTGGATAGATGTTGCCCTGTGATTACTTTAAAAAAAAAAATTTTTCCAGATCTCTTTAGATTAACTCAGATGGACTTTTTTGACTTTTGTTTATTCAAATCATGATAAAACAGGTCATATGCCCATTCTGTTAAAGATTTGCTGTATATAGGAAACTCTGATGATGGGATAGGACTGGAGAAAAGCATGTGATTTATGAGAAATAGGGAATTGTGTTGAATTTCAGAGAAAATGAAGCTTGCTGTCTTTAATGAAGCCTCCACCCCTCCCCACCTTGGCCCTTCAAAAGCTACCTGTATTAATGAAACTGTGGAGTGTGTTGCTGGCATCCCTTTCTCAGCACTAAGTTGCACAAAAGCATTACTATGTTTTCAATACATCCATTTAATCTTAAAAATGGTTTTAAGGTTTAAAAAATATCTTTTCATATAGTTGTCACTGGATATTGTTTTTGTGGTGACTTAAACAACTGATGTTTGCCACTGTCAGGTGTGCTGATTCCTGTACATAAGAGGTGCCCCTTGACTGCTTATAGACTACCTTGTAAGGTGCTTGGATTAGGTTAGGGAGAGAAGTGAGGTAGTAAGTTGATGGAATTTTTCCAGTTCCAAGTTTGTAATTCATTCCATTACTTTTCTAAGTTCTTTTTTTATTTTTAAAGCTCACTTTAAGGTAATAACTTTCTCATTCTAGGCTGTATTTGAGGAAGTGTTGATGTATTTGTGATGCACTTAGCAGTGCAATGGATCATTTTTAGAATCAACTCATCTTTCATAGTAGTAACTACAGTTAAACAGATTGAGATGCCACACAATTAGGACACTTAAAAGTTTAGACTTGTTTTCCTATTTGTTAAATCTGATTCTTGTTGATTCAGTTAGTTTTGCTAATAAAAGAAAGAAAACAAAAACTCCAGGGCCAACTCTGGAAGGCCCTTTGTACCTACAGCAGATTCTTGAAAAGTTATCTCCCAGATATCTCCAAGTCCACGTTTGGTATTGATTCTAGTCTCCCCTTGTTTGCCTTCCTCTTCAGAGACCTTCCCGTAGCCATTTTTGGCTTGCCACCAGATGTAAAGGCATTCTTGTCTAGACCCCAAATCTGAAAGGAATTCTGTTCCTGGGCCTACCCTCAGTGAAGTGACTGTCCCAGTGCTGAAGTTGAACACCAGAGGATTATATTCCCTCTGAGTTTCTGGGGGAACTGGAAGATCCCTAAGAAACCACCCGTAAAACTACCATAGCTTCCCCAAAGCTGGGCCTCCTCTAGACCATTTTCTATCCCATGAGGCTCCCTGGGTGTAGTCTACATTCTCAGTTGGGTCCAGAGCCTTGCCCCTAGCACTTCTGAGACTTCCTACCTGTGAGTGTTAACTTGCATCTATAATCAGCAGTTGCTAGCCCCTGAGATTCCTTATTAAAGAGTTCTATGTAGTCTTCCCTAAAACGGTTTTGTGCCTCATCCTTCTATGATGTTACAGAGAGAAGAGACATCTGTAGTCATCTCTTTACATATACTATGCTTTCTCATGGAATCCTCTGCACATCACATACTCTTCAGGTGAATTTCTCACTGTTCAGATAGGTCAGTAATGAAAGGCATCATTTCAAAACAGCTTCTTTGAATTGAGATTTGGCCTTTTTCCCACCTTGTGATGGATTCAATTGAAGGGTAGAAACTGTCACTCATTTATGGCAGCATTTCTATTGATTAGTAGGCCTGAGAGTCTAGTAGGAAAGGACATTTTTTTAAAATTTTTTTTTTAGTTGTAGTTGGATATAATACCTTTATTTTATTTATTTTTATGTGGTGCTGAGGATGGAACTTAGCACCTCACACATGCTAGGTAAGCGCTCCACCACTGAGCTACAACCCAGCCCCATCAGTTTCATTCTTACAAAGTTCTTTGTTTCCTGTAGCAAATGAGACATTGTTCTATTGATACAGCACAGGGGCTGCCATCCCTTTTTACTACAACTCTTTAGCATTGAATCTTCCTTTTAATCACCCATCACAGAACCACAGTGAGGCCAAAACCATGAGCAAATTAGGATTAAGAGTTCCAAAAGTATGTGAGCCAGCCTCCCATTTCACTCACATAGTATGTAATCAGAGAACTGACTGTGGCCACGCTTCTTTTTTATTAAGATAAGCCATGACTTTGTTCTGTTAAAATTAGTTGAGAGTACTTCAGTTGGACCTCAGTCCTCCATACATCCTGTTTAGATGTGAGGAAAAGCCTTTTCATAGAATAGAAACAAAATCTCACAACAGACCCAAAGCACTGTTTACTTTTAAGTTTGATTTTGGTTTTGAAAAATAAAAATTATTGGCACTAATAACTTTTCAGTCAAATACTCTCAAACTAACTTTATATTAAAGTAAGACAACAAATAAAACTAGAGGCTTTTGAAGTGCTTTTGAAAAAAATGATGAAAAATTGGAACATACTGCATACTGAATGTGACTGAGAGGCTTGGGAATAATATCTTTAAACCAAATCCAGTCACTTCCAAGGTGGTAGTCCTCTCCTTCCCCCAAAACTCAAGGGTAAGTTTCTTCCAAATGAAGTGGAAAATCATGTTAGTAGAAAAAAATTTTTAATGTGGGGGTGGTACTGGGGATTGAACCCAGGATTGTTCTGCTACTAAGCTACATTCCCAACTTTTAACTTTTTGTTTTGAGACAGAGTCTCACTAAGCTCCTTACGGCCTTTAAGTTGTTGAGGCTGGCCTAGTACTTGCAATCCTCCTGCCTCAGCCTTTTGAGCCTCTGGGATTATAGGCATGTGCCACTCATGCTCAGCCAGTGAAAAAATTCTGTCAGTGGCCCCTAAGGAGTGATGGTCTCAGTTGTTTTGAAACATTTATTATTTTAATTTTTCCCCCTTTGCAATGCAAGGGTTGGAACCCATGGCCTTGCACATGCTAGGCAAGTACTCTACCATTGATATACAACCCACCCCAATTCTTTTTAATTCTTAGCTGTTACTTTTATGTCTGATTACAGCTTGATATTCATTGAAATACTGAAATAAAAAATTTTTAATTTTTTTAGATGTTGATGGACTATTATTTTATTCATTTATTTATATGTGGTTCTGAGAATTGAACCCAGTGCCTCACACGTGGTAGGCAAGTACTCTGCCACTGAGCCACAACCCCAGTCCTTTTTTAAAAATTTTTTGGTGGGCCTTTATTTTGTTCATTTATTTATACGTGGGGCTAAAACTCAAACCCAGTGCCTCACACATGCCAGGCAAGCACTCTACCACTAAGCCACAACCCCAGTCCCTAAAAAAAATTTTTTTAAAGTATGGAATCACATCTGTATATCACATCAGCAAGGTGGTCTTCACATCCAGGATAAGTACTCTTCCCCATGGTTGCTTCCAAATCCTTTTCAGGGGGAAAAAAAATCAATAGATAATTGTATTTAGGGGTTGGGGATTTAGCTCAGTAGCAGAGTGCTTAGGCTTGGCAAGACTCAGGCCTGGTTCAGTCCTAGGCCTGAAGGGGGTAGGGGGAAAGTGAGGAAACTCCCACCCCCAAAAAAGATTGTTGTATTTAAAACAAGCAGTATTAGGGGAACCCTTTTGAGACTGCCTTCAATGTTAATTTAAGCTTGAAACATCAAAAGAGGCCTTTTACAGTGGGTGGTTTGTGAACCTTGAGGTCCTTTTGCCTCTTAAAGAAACCCAGAAAGCTCTGATGCTAAGGCTTGACGGTGCCCTGCTGCACTGTTGATGAGCAGCCCCAAGGAACCACCTTGGACACTTTGTGGAGGAAGTCCTTGCTCAAGCTTTAGCCATTGGAGTTGAACCAGAGCTGGTAAGTTCCTTCCATTACCACTTGTCCATCTGATCTTCCTTTTCCCAGAGCCTTGGTGTTTTATGCTAAGGGCTTAGGCAACACCCTTTGCTCCATCCT